ACAATTTTTTATTGTCGACGTTATTAATAATGTCAACTAATCGTTTCAGCCCTATTATAAAGTAAATAATTTGTTGTCTAAATGCTGCATTAGTAGAGAAAGTACAGCAGTATGTTTGCCATCAAGGCTGAGAGGACGCGAACATTAGCATTACCTCAAAAATAATGTGACCAAAACACACGCAAATCTGACCCAAATGTTCAATGTCACGATTGTTACCATCTATTTGCATTAGTTTATATCCAGCTGGTCACATTAATTCATTTGTTAGTCTGCAAAGTTGCAGATTTAAAGCTAGTGAAGTGAGAAAGCAAACTGATATGTTCATGCAGCCGACAGAAATCCTGCCGAACCACAGAGCGCCATTCACAGAGATTTACATTAAATTAGTCCCAAATCGCTGTTAATGTACATAGTGAATTCACTTTACCCTAGGCTGTAAAACTGTGTATTGTGCGTTTTTCAGCTAAACATTTGTCTTTCTGTGGCTCTAATAAAGTATGCTTCATTATAATATAGATTGTGCTTTCTCTTTCCATTCGCTCTGTTTTTTTAAAAACTGAACTTCAAATTCATATATGCCACTTTGTTCAAACTTGAAGTAAACTTTTGCCTGTTTGGTGATTATACAAACTGTTTTAGACTGCTGCTTGAATTGTATGCGACACGTCCAGTCGATACATGCGAACTGTCAGATACAGCGCTGCACTTTTGCCCAGTGTGTGACTAACATATTTTGTTATTTTGATTAGATAATCGTTAAGTGTTCTAAAATATAAGCAAATACAGTCAGAGAGTATACATACAATATCCATATGTATGTAATTTCAATGCTATTGCCTTTGTGTAGATATTTAAAGATGGCCATCTTTAAGCATGACTGTTGAAATGAAATGGTAACACTTTACAAGAGTCCATTTGTAACATTAAGATTAATGAAAGCTGTAGAAGTATTGTTCCTTGTTAGAGTGTTAATTTCAACATTTAGCCTTCTGATACATTTTTAAATTTTAAAGTTGCTTCTGTTAACATTAGTTAATAAACTATGAATTAACTTGAATGATTAATATATAGGCTAATTAATATTAATATTTTTATTTATTTACAAAGTTCAGTATGGTTCAGTACTTTTTTTTTTGTTTTTGTTTTTTTAAATAGTAAAGCTTTTGTTCAGTATTCATTTTAAAAACTATCGGTTGATTAATTGGTATCGGCCAGTGTGGTCCAACTTAGCTATCGGTATCAGTAAAATTCACTATCGGTCGACCTCTAATCTGGACTCCTTCCATTACTGCTAGCCTCAATGCCAAGCCTTTCTCAAAAACCTTAGAAAGTGGCTTTATAAGCTATGGGAAAGAAAAAAAATTATTTGAACATACAGACTAGAACTGACAGGCTTTAATTTGTGTGTAATGTTTGCATGATTCAAGATATTGAATTTCAACACAACATTCAGAGGATAAAATAGATTTTGCATGAAGAAAATAAATATCATTACTTCATGACACTGAAGCACTTTCCTGCCAAATTCACATTTGTGCACTTAAAAAAAAACAAAAACAAAAAAAAAAACATAAAAATAGGGCACAATGTACATATTAATATGAGGGCATTTTCCATATTGATTTTTTTTACTGGTGTTTTATCTGTATTTTAAATGTTGCACTTCACTGTATTGGGTTTTATGGTAAAATTAATGGATAAAGTCCTGGCATTAAAATTACTGTTACATTTTCCTTTTTTTTTTCTCGTGTTTTTTTTTTTTGAGGCCAATTTACAATTTGGCCTTTTTAAGATGATCAGAATCAGTTTGTTTGATTATAAGACATTGCATTTGTCAAAATTAATTTTCAGCATTTTTAACATTTTTTTCTGTGAATATTAAGTAAAACAAGCACTTAAATTCATTTTAATAATTTCATTTGTTGTTATTATATTTGTTTAGTGTGGACAGACAAATCACTTGATATCTAACCTAGTTATGACACAATGTCACACAAATACTGTAATATAATTTTAAAAAAATCAAATAAGCATTAAAGCATTGAAACGAACTTTATCATTAAGTATACTTTAAACTGTGTGTGTATATATATGCAATACTAAAGGACACAACTGTCAAACCACCAGCAGACCCACTTCAGAATCCTACAGATCTGACATCTGTCAGACATAGTGTGGACTTCAGGTATGACAGCTGAAGGAGTGCAAGGGCTTAGTGTGCTGTTTTCAACACACCCATTGACATATCAAACAGAAAGATACGATTTATCCAGCACTGTCAGGCCACTACCAACTAGCCACAATTAGATCCTTGTAGAAACTCGCGCTTTCAGAGCTGAGATGTCTGGATTGGATTATACTCCTTTATAGATGGGTCATTATAAATGCTTTAAAAGCTGGGTCACGGTAAGGTTGTAGTCTGGACACACAGTCTTCACAGGCATTCTCAATCATGGCTTTGTGCACTTAGCCCTGAATAGACAGTGGCAATGCATGTAACGTTATAGCATGGCATCTTGCTTTATGATCGCAGGGGAGGTAAAACTAAGACATGACCCATCCTCATCTCACCATTAAAATAATAATTACTAATTTGGATTAGATCGACTCGTTTTGGCTGAAGATTCACTAGCCTGTACTAAATCTCATTCAAAATGAGTCAGTAATGCAGAATACAGCGTAAACATTGATTTATGGCTGTGTCGCGCGCGCACACACGCACGCACTCAATCAGGGCCTGGCCTCATCAACCCCGTCTGTGTATATGTGTGTGTATTTGTGTGCGCTTACTGCAGCCGTCCGAAACACACATGCATGAAGCTCTTATTCTCACCTTCTTGATGTTGTAGATGCGCGTGAGCATCCCGATGCCGCGGTCGTTGAGGATCGTCAGTTTCTCCGCCAGCTTCTGCTGGCTCGGCTGCAGCGCGCCCCGAGACATGGCTCAAACGACCGTTAAAACGAGCTGAATCACAACCCAACGAGTTCCTCGTGTAGTGTTAAAGGGTAAGGTGCCAAAACGAGTAGATTTTTAGTGTTAAAATTCGCCCATATTACGGGCTTGAGGCGCGTCGTCGGGGATGTGTTTTTTTTCTAGGTGTTGCCCTGACGGCCAGAACGAGGCTGCTTCCGGCAACGACGTCATTGCGTCATGTGACCAGAGGACCTCCGCCCCCCTCGTGCTGTTGGAAAGAGGTGATTGTTGACTGAAGTTATTTTGAAGCTTACGATTTTATTTGGTGAATTTCATGCACATAAAAAGCGTTTTCCAATATTTTCACAACTTTTTTCTATTTAAATTGATTTTGTTTAGATAAGAAATCGAGATTATTTATATGTTAAAGAGTTGAATAACTGAAGATTAGCAAATGCTTTCGTAAGTAATGAAAGAAAACAAAGATTTTCGAACCAGTTGCTTCGCAAAATGATTCAATTTCGAAACCCTCGAAACATCGCGAAACCTGCTGATCAAAATCGTGTAAAAGCAACGTCAACAGCCCAAATGTGCATAAGAAATGTTTTATGAAAGTGTAATCTACTAAATGTAATTTACAAACCATTAAATAAAAAATGTTGTTATTTTATGCATTTGTAGTGCTTGTTTAATGTCAAAGTCTATAGTCTTTAAAGAAGTCTTTATAAAAAGTTTAAAATCCCTGCTGAAAAAACATCTAAAACTAGCATAAGCTGGTTGGCCGGTCTTAGCTGGTTTAAGCTGGAAGTAACTGGTTTTAGATGGTCTCCCAGCCTGGCCAAGCTGGTTTTAGCTGGTCAAGCTGGTTTTAGCTGGTTGGCCAGCTGGTCTTCCAGCCTGACCAGCCAGACCAGCTAAAGAAGTGGCCAAAACCCCTCTAAACAGCCTGCTGACCAGCTATGACCAGGCTGGAGACCAGCTAAAACCAGCCAACCATTTATTCAAAATCGAAATCTTTTGTAAAAATATACACTACCGTTCAAAAGTTTGGGGTCAGTAATTTTTTTCTTTCTTTTCTTTTCTTTCTTTCTTTCTTTCTTTTTTTCTTTCTTTCTTTTTTTTTGTTTAAAAAATAAATGAATGCTTTTATTCTGCAAGGATGTGTTAAATTGATAAAGAAAAGTGATAATAAAGACTTATATTGGTAGAAAAGATTTGTATTTTAAATAAATGCTGTTATTTTAAACTTTATTCATCAAATAATCCTGAAAAAAGTATCACAGGTTCAAAAACAATATTAAGCAACCCAACTGTTTCCAACATTGATAATAAATCAGCATATTAGAATAATTTCTGAAGGATCATGTGACACTGAAGACTGGAGTAGGCCTACTGATGCTGAAAAATCAGCATTGCATCACAGAAATAAATTATATTTTAGGCTATAGTATATTAAAATAGAAAAGTATTATTTTAAATGGTAATAATATTTTACAATATTACTGTTTTTTTTCTGTATTTTTGGTCAAATAAATGCAGCCATGATGAACAGAAGAGACTTCTTTAAAACTTTAAAACTTTCTTTAAATTAAAAGTCTTAGGCTACTAACTGTGCTCCACCAAAGACCATCTGGTTTGGCGAGACGAACGTCAACCGATTGCACCCAGAAAATTACTGCCCTGAAAATAATAATATTATTTTAAACAGGTTCATATGCAGTTATATTTTTCTCCTTTGGGTGTCACTATTGTTTTGATCTTCCCCAGGTAATTATGCTGAGGTGCGCTAATGAATCTTCTCAGTTTTCAGGTAGTATCGAGGTCACAGAAATGTAGACGGGCATTAGACTACTAGTGAGGGAGCAACGAACGGTCTCACAGCACTAACTTAAATTCGGTACTTTACATTTCTGCCTTGGACATCTCCACCGCAAATGTGATGCAGTCGCTCGCACAAGAAATAAAATCCTTCTCCAAAGCTAATTTGAGGAAACAATGCACCAGAGTAACGACTTTGAGCGGCAGGCGGATTATTGAGACATGGAAAGGTTCCACTGTACAGGTGGTTGAGGAAACAGTACAGCCTGAAACTGCATGTGGATATATTCAGGATAATAACTGGGACCTTCAGGTTGGATATATTAAACCATATCTATTACTTGGTGAGTAGTTGATCTTCTCATTTGACACTAGAAAAGTACAAAAGTATATGTAATAAACTCTCAGAATGGGCTGTTTGCACATTTGGAATCGACATTTTAATCTTTATAAAATGTTTAAAAAGATGTATATTATTATAGAATTATATTTTACAAATCATTTTATTTATCATTTGTGTTGTATATTGAATATGTAATGTATGCATTAAATAAAATGTATGTTTATCTAATTGTATCTAAAGTAAAATTCTAAATAAAAATAAAATACAAATGGTATAAACACTATTATAAATTATTCTATATACATTTTTATATATTGTAATAATACATTTGTATTTTTTAAAAACCTCTGTAATTTAATTTATTATTATTATGATTATTATGATTGCTATTATTATTATTATTATTATTATTGCTGTTATTTTTTTGTTGTGTGGTATATGTTATATGTGTCTGATATTGATTGCTGGCTGTGGTATTAGAGTCTTAAGACAAATTTCCAAAAAATAGGACAATATTATTCTATTCTATTCTATTCTATTCTATTCTATTGTAATAAGAATTAATTTTAATTATGTTTATTTCAAAGGGTCACAAGATGCCGCTCATGACTTTGGTACTTTGAAGAAATATAAGGTGAGTTTATTATTATAGTATTTTATCATAATATAACTTTGTTTTAAGACTAATAATGTGTTTCCATTGATTTCAGGTCACACATATATTAAATGTTGCATATGGTGTGGAAAATGCCTTTCCTGACCTGTTCATCTATAAAACACTGAGCATACTGGATCTACCTGACACTGATATCATATCATATATCGAGGAGTGTGCACAATTTATCGACCAGGCTAAAGCTGAGGTAACATTTGCCTTTTGTTTCATGGCGTATTCATGATTACATTTGGTTAATATCATGTGATTTCCAAGAATGTTTTTGCACAAATCTTGCATTTTTGCATAATGTAATACCAGTGTACGGAGGTCTGGCCGCATTACAAGAGGAATATTTCAGTCTCTCTGTCTAATTTCCTGAGTGTTGGGCATTAGCGCCTGGCCTATGTGATACCGCACGGTCATCCAATGGCTAATTCTGTTATTCTAGGTAACCGTGTGGCATGCTGAATAATGGATGCTGAGTTTTCACAATGCATTATTTAGCGAGTTGTAGAAAGATCATATCACTAACGGGCCATTGTTTGTCATACAACCTCTTTACTAAATAGTGTCGCCAGTCATCCTTAACCTGACACTGCCTCATGATTCAAATTCACTAAGGGTTATGATTACAATGGCTGCTGGAAATAAGTTTCCATTCCTTTGTAAAACGAACATAACGCCTCCTGTCACCTAATTTACTGTTGTCTATGATGCAAAGGGAAACAACAGCTCAGTTAATGAAATAATGTTCTTCTCAACTAGTCAGAAAGTGGTTCTCTCACCCGTAACTTGCAATTTTGTAATTCCTTGCAATTAGCATAGGATTAATTACATGCTTTATAATGGAGTATGTAATGATGTCAAATTAAATGCCTCCATAGAGGGATTCCAGTAGCTTCTGGAAACAATTTATTTTCTTGCTGTCTGACTGAACAATTGGTTTCTCTCTGCAGAAAGGAGTTTTACTTGTCCACTGCAATTCTGGAGTTTCACGTTCTGTTTCGGTCGTCATTGGATATCTGATGTTGAAGGAAAATCAGCCATTTGGTGGCACGTTTGCGCTGGTGAAATCAGCTCGTCCGGCCTCATGTCCAAATCCAGGTTTCATGGAACAGCTGAAAAACTTCAGACCACAAGATGCTACACAAGCAAACGGTTTGGGTCATGACTGAACATTATTCTACAGCTGCATCCGTTCAATTTCAAAGGGATAGTTCACCCCAAAATTAAAACTCTGTCATCATTTCCCCGCCTAATACCTTTTTAAAGCTTTGTTTTTTTCCACTGAACACAAATAGTGAAATGTCCAAGCTGCTCTTTTCCTTACAGTAAAAGTGAATGGGGACCATGGCTGTCAAATAAGATTTTTGAGTAATTTTTGAGGTGGTCTATTCCTCACACTAAGCTTAGAATTCACAAAAAAAAACAATATTGGTTTGGAATGAGATGAAGGTGAGTAAATAAAGACAGAATTTTAATTTTTTTGATGAACTGCCCTTTTAAAGCCACAAGTGCTTCCATCGTAGATTCATATATGGCTTTGATTTTACACTTTCGAATTGTCTTATAGGTGCTAATATGACAAAAAGAAACATGGCTGCCTTTCAGTTGGAATTTGCATTGAACTGGCTTCACAGGATGTTGAACTGGAATTTGAATCGAAATGACAGGAAGAGGAATTTACTGAATTGCAGTACAAAGAAATTCACCATCACAGAAGAGATGAAGTACATTAGTTCCCATTCTCAGCGTATTCAGTTAAATGAGTAATTTATTTGTTCAATTCAATTACTATTCTCATCCTGTGTGCTACTTCAATTTAATTTGAGGAATTTACATTCAAAAGTCATTCACATCCAAACACTAATTTCATAATAAATTAAATCTTAAAATAAATCTTAAAATGTATCATGCAGTTATTTTCCCATTCTGTTATGATCAGCAGGCATTTAGAATCAACTTTCCAGATAGTGACATCTTGTGGTCAACACTCACATTTAGCCTTTTCATTTTTCTGAAAAAATTATTTGATCCAAATTCATTTATTATTATCATTATTATTTTTTTTATTTTTTTAAATAAAGACCAGTTTCTTATACTCAGTAACTTTGATAGCAGCTCATTTTGTCCTCACTTAACATCCTTGACCAGCATCTGGGATGTTAATCTATAATTGTGCAATATAGTAACTTAAATATAAACCAAAAGAGAAGAAATAGACGAATAAGTATTTCTGTGACATCAAATCTTAGATCATGTTCTTATGTAATTTTGTAATTTTAATGACATATTTGGATGTTTTTGTGCATAGATTGCATAGTAATTTTTTTTAGATTCTTGTATAATCCAGTTTTTCACTGTTGTGGTTTGTTTTTCTGAAGGTAGAAAATTGTCATTAAATGCTTGTGAGGATGTTTGACATGAAATTTCATTTTATTTTTTAGAACTTCTGGGATTAGCTTTGTGGTGTAGACCGAGCCTTGACTTTAAAGTATGGATGTGTGAAATGGATTGTATTGAATAAAATGTGTACATATATGCAAAAAAAAAAAGCTACTTTACCTGTCTGTGTTTTTGTATAAGCTATGTGTTTGACAATGCATTTAACTAGATCAAATTAAATTTGTTCAGTCTATAAACACACACTGGCCCCATAAATAACATTATCCCACCTTATTTTCCATACCATATTGAGAGAAATTTTCTAACAGTTCTCCTCTGGCCAGAAGAAACCAGAATGGCAGGGTTTAATTCCAGGCTGCAACACAGGTCAGATAAAGAGAAAAAGATAAAGAGACAAACCACTGTCGTGACGCTCTACATAAATCTGCTCAATATATATTGTTTGGGACTGTGTTTTTATAAAACGGCGCCACTGGTCAGAATAGGCAGTGTTATAGCGCCCCCTGTGTATCTAATAGAAATGACACCCTCGAGGTCGCACACGTCCGCCAATGGCGCTTTTAACTGGACTGCCTACATTAGGATGTTATGGTTGAACTAAGATGACTTATCTCGAAAACACAGGGAAACTCTTTGGGCAGTTGTCGTCACTTCAACTCTATCTCCCATGTTGTTGATAAACTCGGGGATTTGCTTTTCCACATGGGCACGTTCTCATCCAAGCTCTCCAGGAGAAACATTGTGACCGTGAAGCCCAAAGAGTCCGAAGACGGCAGAACGAACCGGGACCATTTTCCATACCATATTGAGAGAAATTTTCTAACAGTTCTCCTCTGGCCAGAAGAAACCAGAATGGCAGGGTTTAATTCCAGGCTGCAACACAGGTCAGATAAAGAGAAAAGATAAAGAGACTAACCACTTTCGTGACGCTCTACATAAATCTGCTCAATATATATTGTTTGGGACTGTTTTTATAAAACGGCGCCACTGGTCAGAATAGGCAGTGTTATAGCGCCCCCTGTGTATCTAATAGAAATGACACCCTCGAGGTCGCACACGTCCGCCAATGGCGCTTTTAACTGGACTGCCTACATTAGGATGTTATGGTTGAACTAAGATGACTTATCTCGAAAACACAGGGAAACTCTTTGGGCAGTTGTCGTCACTTCAACTCTATCTCCCATGTTGTTGATAAACTCGGGGATTTGCTTTTCCACATGGGCACGTTCTCATCCAAGCTCTCCAGGAGAAACATTGTGACCGTGAAGCCCAAAGAGTCCGAAGACGGCAGAACGAACCGGGACCTGACCGAGAGCCAGACTCGGGTCGTTAAAAATGCAGTTCAGAGGGTCAGCCGGGAAGTTCAGAGGGCGTCTGTCATCACCGAAGGAGGCAAGTGATGAGAGTTTCACAGCTGTTTTCAACACTGTCCGTGCTGAGGAAAAGTTTGGCACGGTCACTGATGGGTTTATTAACTTTCAAGGTAAAAGGTAAAATGATGTCAGACATTTGGTTACAGCTTAATGTTAGCGCAGTTATATCAAAGCTATGGTTTTATATAAAAGAATTCACAATTCATTGCACGGGATTGGTTATAGGGTGCGAATTATGATTTGAATCTCGATAAAGGAGGTTAAAATAATGTATTCTTTTTACACACAACAGTATACTTTACAGTAGCGTCTTTAAACCACTAAATAAACATAAAAGTTCGACAAACTACTTGGGCCTGCCCTACTGTAATAATTTATTATTCTATTATAGTTGTAAACAACATAAAAATATAACAAAAACTACTAGTGTTTTATTTAAAAAACGTCTTTTAGGGTTAGCAAACTGTGCTAGATATTTTTGGTTACACAGAATGAACCTATCGGACTTCAGCTAATTTAATGACAGGAAAATTAATGACAGGGATGCATTTAAAACGTTGACCCCTCTGAAACCTAATGAACAAACATAATACTTAATACACAATGCTATGAAACTCAGGTAGGACTTTTATTTAGATATTCACCAGGGATTTGTTCAGCAAAAGCTAGATTCAGTATGTCCAATGTTATCCGGTCCAAGCACATTTGTAGAAAACATGACCAACAACAATCAAATTTGTATCTTTTGTTTCGGTGGAAATTTATGAGTGGAATTAAGAGTTGACCCCTTTAAAACTCACTGAATAAACATCATTCATATGTTTGTTTTAGATATGAGAGACTCATATAAGCACATTTTCTTTTATACCACATATTCACTAGGGATTTCTTCAGCAAAAGCTGGATTCAGTATATTTACAGTGTTATTTGGTTCAAGCACATTTGTAAACAATGTAACCAAAATAGTCAAATTTGAAATAATATCCTGTGGATGCACTGGCTTCAGTGGGCATTTTATGGGCAAAATTTGACATAGTGTACAGTTGGTCAATTACTCATTAATGGCCACACCCAAAAATTTAATTGCTTTTTTTTTTTTTAGCAAAATCATTTGACAAATCAAAATTAGTCTTTAGATAATACACATGAAAAAGCTTAGAAAGAGTTCAAAAATGAAAATTTTAAATGGTTTATTTTATGGAGGGAGTGTTTAAAGAGATGATGTGTCAAATTCATTTTTAAATAAAAATCCAGCTCTAAAATATAGAGCAATTTATTGGTGTTGTTTAACAAGTTGATTGTTTTGTAAAAGGTTACAGACAAATGTACTCAAACATCATGTTAAACAGGTTTCATGTGTGGCCACATGCATGGGCTACACACGCAAAACACTAGGTGAGCAATATGAATATTAATGCACTTCCAAGAATGACATGACATGGTCAGTATTTCACTGCTATCTTTGTCATGGCAACCCCTGTACAGTATTAAATAGAGTGTCATTGGAGATCCTGTTTTTTTAGAGAATGCATTATAATGATTTGAATCTTACTATTTTATTTCAAGCCTCTTGGACGTAAAGGGGTTGAGTGGGCAGAACAAAGACGGTAGAATTCATTACGAGGCCTCTCTGCGTCGTCAATTGGGATGCTGCAGATTGGGGGCTAATTTGCTCGCTGTTGTTTTGGTTGCCAACTGTGCTGGATGGCTGCGAGGAAAGCAATTAAAGATTTTGTGGTAAAGCCAAATGAAGAGCAATTAAGAGGAATGAATTCAGCCTCTTAATTTCACAATCACACTGAAGAGCTGTTGGTGGTTAGATTAGCATAAGTACTGTCAGCGTGCTTTGTTCCCAGTGTTTTTCCACCCTTTGACCATAGTAACTTCCATAAAAAATCTACTGTAAGCTCACAAAAAGTATATTCAAATTCAGTATGTCACATCTTGTTCTTAAAGGAATAGTTCACCCCAAAATGAAAATTTACTCACCCCGAGGCCAACCAAGATGTAGTTTGTTTCTTCATCAGAACAGATTTGGAGAAATGTATCATTACATCACTTGTTCACCAATGGATCCTCTGCAGTGAATGGGTGCCATCAGAATGAGAGTCTAAACAGCTGATAAAAACATCATAATAATCCACATGTAATCCACACGACTCCAGTACATCAATTAATGTCTTGTGAAGCAAAAAGCTGTGTTTGTAATAAACAAACCCATCATTAAGGAGGATTTAACTTCAAACCGTTGCTTTGCCATAATCCATAACACTGTATCATTTCCTCCAGTGAAAAAGTTGTCTCGTCTGAATCAGGAGAGATATATGCACAGATCAAGCGCTGTTTACAAGCCAAAACAGTCCTAAACAGTTCTAAACAAATATGTCAGCAGATTTTGATGTGAGAGCACAACAGGGCATGGACATTTTGACTGGAGGAAGAGTTGTTATGGATTATGGACCAGTATTTCGGCCAGAAGTAATGGTTTAATGTTAAAATGCCTTAACGATGTATTTGTTTCTTACGAATGCAGCTTTTCACCTCACAAGATGTTAATTAATGGAATGGAATCATGTGGATTACTTGTGGATTATTGTGATGTTTTTATCAGCTGTTTGGACTCTCATTCTGACGGCACCCATTCACTGCAGAGGATCCATTGGTGAGCAACTGATGTAATGCTAAACTTCTTCAAATCTTTTCAGATGAAGAAACAAACTCATATTTTGGGTGAACTGTTGCTGTTTGGACTCTCATTCTGACGGCACCCATTCACTGCAGAGGATCCATTGGTGAGCAAGTGATGTAATGCTAAACTTCTTCAAATCTTTTCAGATGAAGAAACAAACTCATATTTTGGGTGAACTGTTCCTTTAACCGATAAACGAAATATATTTGTTTATATTCTACAGAGCATTTTTCGTAGGTCATTTGGCGCCACCAGCCAAAACAAGTTTCGTCTCTGCAAATAAGTAGGCAGAAGAAGAGAGCTTGAGTTACGGCAGTGGTTGTGTTAATTGATGTAGTGATCTATATTTTAAAGTCCATAATTAAGTCTTTGAGTTTCCGCAATAGTGCCTTGTCAAATGTGTCTGCACACCAGTGAGCCAATGTAATGAAGAAGGTTCCCTTCTGTTAATTTGAGACCCAGGGCTTGCTGTTACATATTAGTTTTAGATTTATTACTCTGTGGCTGGACCAGCAGAAGAAACTCTTCCTGTGACGTGCCTGCTCTGCCATCATGGAAGAATAGGAGTGTTGATTTAGTGTAAATTCAAAGACTATTTGATTGTTGCCGATAATTAGATGACCTTGGTTATTACCAGGACAGTTTCATTAGACCAATTTGCATGTTCATGTTTGATAAACATGCACATTATTTCTAGAAACAAATTGGGTTGTGGACAGTGACAATTACATTACTGAGAATCATCAACCTCCTCTCTTGTTATAATAAAAAGTGTTCTTTTAGACAATAGACAGTGCAATTTGTGTATTCTGTGTTGTTTAGCCTTACAGTGATACACAATAGATTTGTTCATTGTGTGACTTCTCTTGCTTTAAATAAGTGATTTATTTGGAATAGCATGCATAAAATAGTCATACAACCTGACAGATATCACTGGAATATGTGTCCAGCACAAGAAAGCACAAGTGTCACATTGGACACATATTGATAATACATTAGCTACATCTATTGTAATAAATTATAATATAATAATTAATAGAATAGAATATAAAAATCTATTAATAATAAAAATATATACAATATTTTTTACAATAATATATATTATTAATATAATATATAGAATAATATATTTTTAGTCACCAGAAGAATTCTTCATATTCCTTTCTTCGTAATTTTAAATGGCTAAAATATCATTTAAATGTACTGCTAAATTACTTTATATAATTTAAATAACACCATAAAACTCCAGTTACACCCATAAATTCAAAACAACAGCACTTGAACTACATTTAAATGGAAATCTCACAATGGCATATTTACTAACATTACAAGTTGAGATTTTAGTCACCAGAGGGCTCCCTTTACCCAAAATTCCTGAGAGATTGCTGGAAATAAAAGACCATCAGTTTAGTGTTTTGAAAAATGCCATGCATCTGAAAAGCATTAGCAGTATTATCAGTAAGGCTCTTGTGGAGAGTTATGTGTTGTATGAAGAATGTTCCCACATAGCTGTAAATCTAGGGTGACATTAATAATACAGTGCAGACAAACTCGAAGTGTTGTAGATGATTGTTTGGAAAACAGGCAATGAATAACACAAAAAGAAGGATCTAAAAAACATTGTAATTTTTTGCGTATATTATTTTATTTATTTTAGAGTGTTTACCTGACTTGGACAGACATAACAACATTGGCTCAACCAACAGTGTAAGTTTAGGGTGGGACTACATGTGAGACCAACAATAGGACAGAAAGGGCATGTTTGAAAATGGTTATAATTTCACAAGTCGTTAATTGATGGACTGGAGTCGTGTGGATTACTTGTGGATTGTGATGTTTGGACT